AGGTGCCAAGGGATGCCTTGTTTTTGCTATAGCAAAATTGTACTGTGCCCTACTTCATAAGAATTGCTGACATTATGTGTAAATACTAAAGAGCATTACTTATTAATGTTTATAAGCAGCATATTTGTTAAAAAGCAATCAAGCCAATGGAAATTGGGAAAAACCCAATAAAAACAAGACCATTACAATACTAAAATATTAAAACATCTACATAATTTAAAAGACTATGAACAAAATGATGGATCTTCACACCCGCTCTGAAAGCCAGAGAAGTGGGAGCCAATCATATTTCTTGAGGTAGTGCATCTATATTTGGGGAAAGATACTGAGAACATCCATTTTTGCATGCCTGAGGAGAGGTATTAATGCTCTTAAGGACCTGCCTTGCAGATCCTAATTTCTTTGCAGGCTGGTGTCTGCATCTAGTAAAGCTCAGCCTAGTCATCTGGGCTGAGGGAACAGTGAAAGCTCCAACCATGCCTAGCAAGAGGCATTCTCTTTTAACTTCTGCCCACACCAAACATGTGAAGACAAAATATGGCAGAAGGGATTTGATTGGTCATCCAGTGTCAGAAATCCTCTGTAAATTAATACAATGATTACTTTGCATATAAATAAAAATGATAGTTCTGAAGCAATGCAAGAATTCATTATTCTTAGGCAATGGAAGGATGTGGTGTATCAGGCATCCTCAAAGAAGTTTTCCCTTCCCTTCATGCTCAAGCAGGAAGCGTTCTCTCCTTTGTCCTCTGATCTTGTTAACAACTTATAAGCTATATTGCTATATTAGTATCATTACGTTGCATTTCTATCCTGCCTTTGTACGGAACCCAAAGCAGCTTACATAACTCCATGTTATCTTCACAACAACCCTGTGAGGTAGATTAGGCTGAAAGTGAGTGACTGCCCTGAAGTTACTGAGGGAGCTTCATGGCTAAGTGGGGAGTGGAACCCAGATCCCCTCGGTCCACAGCCCAACACTCTAATGCCACTGCACTAGCTTTCTACACCTGATGAGAAACTTTACATAAAAATCTGCCCTCTAACTAATTAGGGTGCTTTTTAAAATTGTGTCAAAAGAGTTAAACTATTAATGGGCTGATCCTATTCATGACTGCCAAGATGATACCTCCATTGAACTCAATGAGGCTTAATCTCTGCTATATGTGCCTGGAAAAAGTAATTACTTGAGCCATTGCTGTGGCTGTGTCAGTTGTATGTTTGTTATTTTGATTTTTCTGTGTTTAGAATGATCAGTCAGCATTTTGATCAATCCTCTTTGTTCTGAGAAAACTGCGAGCAATTTCCCTCCCTATATTTTCTGCATTTGGGGGCATTTGTTGAAAACTTGTTGAAAGTCATAAAGCTTTAGTTATTACCCACTTATTTTTCTGTAATTTGGCAGTTCAGCTAGACTTTCTAAGTATAGAATATGTTTGTGTGGCATACTGGAATTACCTGGCTCAAAACTCGTATTTGTGATGAGTAATTGTAGGGAAGTCACTATTCTCCCCCCTGGCATATGAGAAAAATAGTATTATTCAGAGTTGTAAGGATTTGTGAGATGCTGTGAATATTCTAAAGTCCTTAACAAATGTTGTACACAAAAGGGAACAGGCTGTAAAGAGTGGAGGGTGACAAATTTTGACCTACAATTCTAATGACTCCTCACCAGTGACTATTATGGCTTGGGTTGATGGAAGTTGTAGACCAAACTATCTGAAGGGCTCCAATATCCCATCTTTCTCTTCACCTGGGTTCATCCTGATATTTTGGGTTACAATTCCCATGCGCCCCAAGCAAGGCTAAAATTCTGAGACAATAGGAATTATAGTCTGAAATATCTGGAGGAGCCTACATTGGGGAAAGTGCAGTGTAAAGATACTAGTCTAGATTTATTCTGTCTGCTTCAGTCCCTTGGCTAGTTCTGTACATAGCAAGGATTACTGAGATAAGATACGTAAATTTCTGGTGGCTGGAGTGTTGCACTGGGACTCAGAAAATCTGGCTTCTAGGCCCCATTCAAGCATGGATGATTTTGGGCCAGTCACTGATTCAACCTCATCTGCCTCACAGGGTTGTTGTGAGAGTAAATGAAAAGGATATGGTATGCCACCTACTTGAAAGAGGAAAAACGGCAGGATATAAATAGAATAACAAGTAAATGTTATGCCTTTTTGTCATAGCCCTAAGTCAATACCCCATCAACATTGGACATTTTGATTCATCAGCAGCTTTGCCTTCACTTGCTCTTTCTTAGTACACAAACAGGTTTGCCATGTCCTGAAAATGTGATAGGTGTGAAGGATGTAATTTGTTCTCAAGGAGATGATGTTCCAATAACCATCTGTATTTTGCCCACCTAACTGAGCGCAAGCCTCTGAGGTCATTTGTAAGAGCTGAGAAGCTCTCTTGTCTCCAGGAGCTGACTACTGTGAGGGAAGCCCTTTCCTCATTATACGCTCCTGTGGTAATTTTCAGCCTGAGATAAATGAGACACCTGAACGCCACCTGCCCAGCGGCCCTTCTCCTTGTTTGTGAGGGCCAGCAGGACGATCGTTATGTAGCTTCTAGATGTTTCTGTGGACCTGTGTAGGTGTGATATCGAAAGAGGTTTTGTGTAGCCATTATGAAGACAGGCTTCAAACCGAGGCTGTTGCATCTTTTCCAGTACCTTAACCACTGGCTTATATTTAGCCCCTACATTTAAGTTCTAGGAACTCAGACAGAACCCTAGATAACAGTAAGATCCCAGTATCAACAGCTGGCCTTTGACTGAAATAAGATCTATTACTGCTGCAATATCAAACAATTGTATGAAAAAGCCATACAAAGCCTGCCACAATTAAGCCCCCCCCCAAATACTACCATGCAAACATACAGATTTTAAATAGAATTGAAATTATAATAGCATTTTGATAAAAAAAAATCTGAAGATGAATTCAACAAGTGTATCTTGTGTTGTCTCCCTTCCTATTGAGGAGGAATAGTAAGAACATTTTTATCAAATTTTGTTCCACAGCCTGGTTTTAGGCTGAGCAGACCTCTGTCCTGGCTGAGGAGGTTTTAGGGGCCCATTTTATATATTCAGCACAATCAAGTGAAAACTGTTTTCTACACTGTTCTGCTTCATGTACTAGCAAGGAATTGCCTGTCTGAAAGAAGGGCATAGGGGTATCCATTTAGTTAAGGTAGCTCACAAAAACTCCCACTGTTGTAACTCTCAAAAACCTCTTTTAAAAAAAAAACACCTATAGAGAGCTGAGAATGTGAAATTTGGAATCTATAACATAATCTGATCAAGTCGACAGTTGTGCCAAATTTCAAAACTGATCTGTGACCGATACAGCATGTTAAAAAGTGCTGAATATTGACACATTTATTCCAACTTGGTGTATCATATATTTCTTTCCGATCTCAGGGAGGAAAGACTGATATGTACTCTATTCAGCCCTGTTGAGATGTGCCATTCGTTTCTTTGGGGAAATTCTGAGCAGCAGTTTTACAATTAAAAAGGATTTTCTGCCCCGTGTCTGTCCATGGTGGCAACTGCTGGCGAGGCCTGTCAGTTTCGCTCTGAAGCCTGATCGCTGCTAGTGCAGCCCCGTGATTTGGATTCCCTTTTTCCTGTCCACATCCTGACAGTGGGGAGAGGGAGCAGGGAACTGTCATCTCATTTGAGCGAGCTAATTTTGAAGGCTAAGCAAATTGTTTGTGCTGGTGAAGAAGAGTGGGAGGAAAAGGGAATCATGTGCATGCTTGCTCAGAAGTAAGCTATTCTGAGGTTGCATGGAGACATAAATTCATTTGAGAGACATCTACTTAGTCAATGATTTGTTTGTGGCTTACATTTTTTTCTTTAAGTATTTTTTCCCGGAACACTATAATCATACATTTTCTTTTTGGAAACTGGGGAAATAAAAAATATCTGCCAATTTAAGAGCTGTTAAGGCAAGAAAATGGGAAACTTCAAGCTTAACAGACATGCCCTGTGATGTATTGCATTGTTAGAAATCATGCTTGCTTATGAGCAACAAACAGGCATTGATCAGCTGATGGAAGATTTCACTAGCAAGAGAGAAAAGTTTAGATGCTTCTTGGAGCAGTATGGTGAATCTTTTCTGGTTCTGGGTTACTCCATCCTCCCCATCTAGATTTAGGCCCGAAAGGTAGAAGAGAAGTTTGGGTACACGGAGAGTAAATTCTTTATTCTTGTTATGTGCTGTCCAGTCATCTCTGACTTACAATGACCCTATGAATGAAAGTCCTGCAAAATGTCCCATCCATGACAGCCCTACTCCGTTTTTTCAGATAAATAGTAAGCAAGCACAATTTGTGACATTGCACAACTTCTGCACTCACGTCTGTTAAAGCATCAGGCTAAGTTTCCTGGCTTTGTGGAACTTAAGCTAACATGAGGTAGGCTTACCTTAAACTGCTGCATTTTTGGTAAATGTTTTAATCCTAGAACATTCTCCTCCCATCATACAATATCTAAGAGCAGAGCAGAGGGCACTTTCCCTTGGTACACTGGACTTCCTATATGCAGGGAGCCTCCCCCCCCCCATTTTTTACTCACTAGTAAAATTCACTCAGACATGCAATTACATCCAGTGCAGTTGTGTTGCCAATGCAGTTTAGTGCTGATTAAGAATACAGGGTGCTGTCTTACAAGAAGCTGAATTAGCAGACCATGTATTATTGAGAGTGGTTGGTCATGGCTCTCCAGGGTCTCAGGAAGGGGCTTCCTCAGCTCTACCTAGAGATGCGAGGGTTGAACCGGGGACTTTCTGCATGCAGTGTGTGTGTGCTGCAATAAGCCAGGAACCCTTTGTGAGGATTGTCAGACCCAAGTACCTTCACTTTCCCTCCATGACTGGGTTCATCTTATGTAGGTTGTGAGCACTTCTGCACTTGGAGGCCCCCACTTTTAAGAACTAGCTCTTGGTTGTTAAGCAACAATAGTAACAGCATTTTCCTCTTTTTTCCCCACTGTCTAGAAAGAAATTCAAGCCATGAGTCAGTGCCATCATCCAAACATCGTATCTTACTATACTTCCTTTGTAGTGAAAGATGAACTCTGGTTAGTGATGAAGCTTCTCAGTGGAGGTAAGTAAGTTTGTTGTTTTTGTGTGTGTCGAATTATTTAGCTTTTAGTTTGCAATTGTAAAAGGGAATTTTAAAAATGGAAGTTGTTTACTTCTAACCATGAGTGGTAATGTCTACTTTATTGAACACGAACTATTTTACAATTCTTTCAGTATCTCAAACGAGCATCTTGATGACAGCTTTTTGGAATATGCCAGTTATTTAAATATATTTGCCATATATTGAAAAACTCCTTCAAGCATAATGGCTTGGTTCACAGATAATGGAGAAGGCATGGTTTGGGTTCCATCCAATGTCACAGGAGCAGATTTTTGCTCATGCTCTTGGACTCCTCCTCCTCCTCCTCCCTTCAATGCACTCCTCCCTCTCCCAAAATTTCGCTCTGTAAGGTCAGGCAGAGAGAGCACTACAGAATGGTGAGGATATCCATCCTGTGTTTTCTTCATGTTAAGCATAGTGTTTCCCTTTAGCTGATACCCCCACAAAGCATGAAGGAAACTGTCAGAGAAAAGGAAGAATGTTTCTGCTCATTGAAGAAACAGAATGTATTTTCAAGTGTGTCTTCCTCATCTATATTTTGTTTGTTTTGTTTAGTCACAAAGTTGTGTCCATCCCATCACGAGCCCATGGACAACTTTCCTCCAGGCTCTCCTATCCTTCCTCATCTATAGAGGAGTTAAAAAAAATTGGGGGAGAAATTTCAAGACATGCCATTTATTTCTGGTAGACTACCAGTTCCTTGGGTGTGGTATTTAACTGATTAAAAGGCAGAAGATTAATTGTATTAAACGCCTTAATCAGTCAGTATCTTTGCTCTTAAGCCATCTCTTGTGGCACTGAGGTTTAGTCTAGCTGTTCAGACTCTCTGCTTCGAATCCTCCACGTAGCTTTAATTTGTCAAGAATCCCGTGATGTTGAGCTGGCAGCCTTACAGCATATCGTGGCCTCAGATCCTATCTCCTTTTTAAGGAAAGTAATTGCCTGTCTTTGTGGAAGGAGGGTAATGTAATCCTTCCTTACATTCATTCATGGAAAGGCTCTTTCAGCATGTGTCATACATTGACTTTGTTATTTATCTTTCTCTCTCCCTTAATTATCTCGTTAAGTCTTTCTTACCTGGCATTTAAGGAAGGAGAAGTAAGGAAGGGAAAGATTCCTAGAAGATGACTGTGTGTTTCACTTCTGCCCTTTTTTTTACACCCTCCAGAGTCTCTAATGCCAAGCAACAAAAAGCAGGAGCAGGTTTCTAGGAGAGTCTGTCCTCCATTATTGATGTCCCCATCGAAGAAACTCTAATCTTCCGTTGGTCATTTCTTATAACACGGCTTGGAAACTGCCATATTCAGTAGCTCACTATCATGTTCTTGTCCAGAATTCCTGCAGGCTTAGAGCTGGTCTGTTTTATCTCTGTGGTAAGCCACTTTCACACAGTAGCTCAGAACTTCGTCAGATTGCGGTACATGCTACACGGAACCTCAGTCTCATGGAGAATATCCTTAAACATGCCAGATCTTCCTGGGAGCATCTGTTGCTAACATGGAAGTGCTTCATACAATCCAGATGGCCTGTTTGGCCCTTGCCATGGTGGATCTAAGTGTTGCTGTGTAGGAGCTGTTTGCCACATTGATAAAGTAGTGTGTATACTGCAAACTAGAGGCTGGGGCCTGGACCTAATTCTTTTGCTTATGTTCTGTAACGGGGTTGACATCTTGCATTGATTTAACTCTCAGCTTCTCAGCTGAAAAGGCTCCTGGAGCTGTATAGATCAAATCAGTTAAAAAAGGCAGTCCTTCTCGGCAAGTTTACAATTAAAAACAAAAACGGACATGATGCACTAGGAAAAAGGAATAGGAAGGGAAGAGGAAGAATACTTTCAGTGGGCTTACGGCATGGCCTGACTTGCCCCTTACACCTCTCTCACTGTAGCCTGTAGAGTGGCTGCTGGTTGTGATGGTTGAGGTGGCATGGTGTGTGTGTAGAAGTGATGTTTTGTGAGGCGATCACTGTAATATTTGGTAGTGGGATGATGCATTTTGTAATTGTCTTTCTCTCGGGAACTGTGTAAGCTACTTGAATGCACTTACTGTGAAATGCCAAGGCTGGATATTTCAAAAGGAAAAAGCCCATGGATCGACAAAATAAATCAGGGGAAGACGCAAGTAGGCCATGCAGCAGTTCTTGAGGGTGAGCAAGAGACTGGAACACATTGTCCAACCGAATCCCCTTTTGGAGAACATTACTGTCAAATCAGCTACCAAGGATTGCTTAAAATCTGGCACAATTCCTGGTTGGAAATTCATGTAGGAAATAGTGTGCAACTTCGGTGGAGTTATCTGCACACATGTTCCATGCTGTTTTTTCTATATCAGACTGCTTTTTCTGTAGAGTTTTGTCATGTCTGAAGCTACTTTCAAAGAAGGGAGTGGTTTTGTGGGTCAAATTGAGGTAAGAATCAGAACTGAATGTCTCCTGAATTATAAGGAGATTTTTTTTCCCTTTGAAATGGCTTCCACAACCAAGATTCGTTCATCAAAAGATGACAAACTTTGCAGGAGTACATTTTGAAAACAGGAGCTCACAAGCCATGGAAGAAGTCGAAGACCAAAGCAAAGTTCCTTTTTCATTCCTCTGGACTCTCTAATAACTTTCTCTAAATTGTATTTTTGTGTCTTGTTAATTGTGAATAGTGCTTTCCTCCTGGGAGTTCTGGGTGTATTGCTTCCTTTCCTCAAAAAAGAATTTTAACTGCACAGTAAAACTCTCTCTCTAAAGCAGGAAAGGTACATTCTCTTGGCTAACTATGGACAAGTAAAGTGTGACTCAGCTAAATTAAAAATGTAAACAATAACTGTTGGTTTATGTATATCCTGCTCTCCCTACCCACCCATAACCATAAACTATGAATCAGAGTTTGGCCGCAGTCAGTTCTGCTTAGCCTCACAGTAAGCTTGTCAGAAGGTGTTGGACTAATAGAATTTTTCCCAGGATTCTGTTTGTTGAACTTCATAGCTGCATTTACTATTGCATCTGGACTTTATTTTCTCTATATCAGCCTTGCTGAAACAACTCCCTTAGCAGAACATTGTATAAGTTACTAGCTCACTTACCACACACATAGGTTATATATTATTTGCCTGGTTTAAGGGCCAAAGAACCAGTACCTAGAGAGTTTCCCTGGCAGGTTAACTGCAGGTAATTTTTTCTTGTTGCACTCAGCCAGAGTGCATCCTACTATTTGATATGCAATAACTTAATTTGTGCAAAGTTATGAATTCAAGGTGTTGGCCATTCTGCATACAGGGAATGCACATTTCCAGGATTTAATTTGCATTGCTGGAAAAGTAGGATGCAGATTCTTAAACAAAGTTGCAATCAGTGAGGACCTGAAACTTGATATGAATGTTAAAAAAGAGGAGCGGAAAGAAACAAGAGAAAGGGAAAGAAAGTCATTCAAGAGGACCCTTGCATAGAATGATGTTACTACTGAAGTGCCTGGATGTAAAATAAAATGAGAATGAGCAACTTTGAAGGAAACAATCTTATTAATGGTTTTTGAAGGTCAAATGAAATGTTTTGAGAGAAAATACTGACAGAAGATGATGTGAGTGATTGAAAGCAAATCTGATTGTGGCTATGTATATCCTATGGCAACCCTAAACAGCTTCCTTATTTCTGGTCTTTCCTTTTGATTAGCTTTCTGTATCTTTGCCCAGGCAGGTTGGCTTGCTGAAAAGCTCTGGGAATGTAAGGAATTCTCATGGGAGCCTTTGACATGGTATGAAAGCAGGTAACCTGAGCAGACAGGTTTTGAAAACTATCTTTTGCAATTATAAGCTACAGTTGCAGGTGAAAGACTTTCTGACACTTCCACATTGTGATCCAAAGTCTTTTTGGGAGCTGGAGTTTGGAGCCTTTCCTTCTTCGGATTCTACATATGCTGTATTTCCCTGCTGAATAATTCATGAATATATACTTAAATTTGCACATGGTAAGCATGTCATGAGTGAAGCTGGCTGGAGCCAGGGGTCAGACTAGATGGCCCAGGAGGACCCTTCTGGCTTGCTGTGTTTCTGTGTTTCTTCTCTTTCCTTTCTGGGGCATTTCTCCCCATTCCCCTTTCTTCCCCATGTTCTGTTTTTGTTTTCAACATATGTCTGGAACTAGCAATTTAGCTGATGCATAAGGCAGCATAAATATGCCTTTTAAGTTTTTCTTGTGGGTGCTGGAGGCATAAACATTTCTCTCCTGGTATATGCTGGTGATTCAGATAACATTTACTGCAGCAAGAAAGTGGCTTTCTAATTCCTTTATCTGTTTGTGGTTTTTCCAAAATATTGGATAATATTTTGAAGACTTTTGTGCCACACTTGTGTCTTTTTAAATTCTTTTTCTGAAGAGCACTCTTATAGTTCTTCCATTACTCTTTTTGCATCCCAGCCTTACAATAATTGCTCAAATACCTAAAATTTGGTACCAGCAGTGCATTAAAGGGGCCAAAAGAAAAAAGAAAAAAAACCCCTTCAAAAAAAAAAAAAACCCGTTTCCATTCCTCCTCAGTACAAATTTGTATTTCCCCTCTAGAATGAGTCTGATGATACCTGCCTTACTACTTACAAGGCTGAGACCACGATTTCTTCAGTCAGTATTATTTTGAAGGGTAGGGCAGGTGGCTGGGGCTGCTGTGGCATACCTCAGCCCAGGGAGGCCTGGATTCAGAGAGCGCTGGAAGCTGCCTTTCTCTTGAGTCAGATCAGTGGCTCATCCAACCCAGTATTGTCCACATCGGGGGTAGGCAAGCCAGTATCCTCCAGATGTTTTGTCTGCACCTCTCATCATCCAGCCATTGGTCATCTATGGAATGCGCTCCCCAGAGAGGTCCGCCTGGCGCCGTCGTTATTTGTTTTTCGGCGCCAGGCTAAGACCTTTTATTTAAAACTATTGTAATTGTTAAATTATTTGAATTAATAGGATTTTAAATTTTTAGCCGAGAATGCACCAGGGTTTTTTAAACAATTTCTTTTCTTTTTTAATTGTTATATTGTTATTATTTATGTATTTATGTATCCTTTGTGAGCCGCCCTGAGGCTTTGTTGCGATGGGGGCGGCATAGAAATGTTTTAAATAAATAAATAAATATTGGCTGGGGTTGGTGGGAGTTATAAACATCTAAAGGGCAGCTAGTGACCTGCTCCTGTTTCTATACTGGTTGACAGTTGCCCTACAGGGAGTTTTTTCAAGCCCTACCTGCAGAAAACCAGGGCTGAAATTGGGATCTTTATTTTGCATTATAGCCCTTTTCCCAAATCCCTGCTCTTTCATACAGCTGGCTGCCTATTTGCCAATGGGCCAGGTTTACGGATCTGTACTAATGTATAAAGCCCTAAAGAACTTAGGACCAGGATGTGCGAGAGACTGCCTTGTCCCTTACCAACCTGTCCAGTTGCTGTGGTATTTAGTCCTGATTGAGATTTTCTGCAAACTAATTTGGTTTTAGAAGGTTGAGAACTAATCAGATTGATTTTCTCTGGTTAGTTGGGAATTCTTGTATGGTCGTTCTGTTGCTCGAACACCAAAGAATGCTTGTGTTCAGTGTGGGATGTTATGTGGAAGCCTTTCAGTGTCAGAACCTCCCCGCATTTGAAAAACAAGTGTGTCTGTGAGAAAACAGCAAGCCCTGCTTTCTGTTGCTTCCCTCTCCACATGCAGAGAGGGTCAGCCGTGGAACCCTTTCAAGTAAATTTCCAGCACGCATCTCAGTTTGATATGTTTAGGGAACAGTTTTGGCTATTGAGCAATACAAAATATAACAAGTAAAACACAAATAAAGTAATTTTCAAATTGTGTTCTTGGAAGCCCAAGGCCTTCTTAGGTAAGAAATCAAAAAGAGTGAGCAGATTTCCCCTAGAAGAGTAGTTTACGCTTGTTTCTCATTTTCTTGGGGAAACAGTGTATATAGAGCAGTGAGACTGAACCCAACTGCATGAAGACCTTTTTATTTAAGCAACATTTTAAATGCTAAATACAATTGAATTTTATCTGGCCAGGGCGGCTTATTTTATAATGTGAGTTTTAATTAAGATTATTTTATATGGATTTTAACTGGTTTTATCTATGTTGTAAGCCGCCCCGAGGCTTCGGCGAATGGGGCGGCATAAAAATGTTTTAATAAATAAATAAATAAATAAATTTAACATGGACTCTTGTGTTCTTTGTGATATTCTGTGCTATATGGCTTAGGGATTCATCAGTAGACAAATTAGTGGAGAAAAGGCCATGAAAAGGTAGATTGTTTGGAAGAAGGAAACAAAGTACACCATTGGTAATGCATGTTTATCAGGCTAACTGTCATTCTGGATTAATCAGCCATCAAAATAAATTCTATTAAGCAGGACTGTGTTTTAAGGATTCTATGCTTTTCAGATTTCCTGTAACAAGTATAAGCATGCTATTCCCCTGCCCCAGCAATGTTAATCCAGAAGCTAAGCATAATGAACTTTCTAAGTCTTATTCTAAATTAAAGTGCTCCTACAATCTTTGTTGCCTGTAAGCATCCTAAGGTTTTTATGAATTCATTTAAAATTAAAACCTAGATTAGAGCCAGCTCTTGGCATGTTTTTGAGATGGTGACTTGACTTTCAAAATCTTCAGAAACCCATTACTTTTTCCTGACATTTGATTTTAGTAACATAATCAATCGCCACATAATCTGAGCAGAACTAACACCTGACCTACTCAGCCTTGAAATGTACCTGCCTAAATCTCTGATTCAAACTGCACTGGAAGGATATTTTTATCTTTCAACCCACCCTTATTCCTTTTCCCTCTCTCCCGCATTGCCCAGCTCCTGCAGTGTTTTCACATTCAAAGGGTTTTGCAAGCTATCCCCAGTCCCCCTGTTAAATCTTGAGTGGCAGCCAAACTTCCATAAAGATTAAGTGCATGGAGATAGATATTTCTCTTCTTGTCTGACTCTTGACCTCAGGTGGCACTACTCAGACAGCAAATGAAGTACTAAAGCCCAGAGTTGGTAGAATTTACTGTACTGACAGCATGTGAGGATGTCATTTCTGAGTGTGTCTCTCCCCACCCCAGAAAACCTCCCTGGAAAGAAATGATAACACTGAAATGCCTGAAAGGGAACCTCTTTGTGTCCTAGCTTTTTTCTTGTAGACAGATTTTTTTTTAATGGAGAAGAGAATTGAAACTGAAGCAGAAGGAGTACAGCTCATTGTTGCACCTCAGAGTTCCTGCCACCTGATTCTGCTCTATGTGTAGACTGTGCCCCAGTTTCTTCCAGTGAAGCCAGTTTTGGTTTGAAGCTGACAGAGGGAACCGGCTTGTTACATGGTGCTGTAGTGATAGCAAGCTATGGTTTGCATAACCCACACTTGCATACTTAGATCATGGTTTGAGCTGCCCAGTGCCTTCAGCAAATAATGACTAAAGACTTAAACAGATCCATAAAGTGCAAGACAAATATTAGCTATTAATCATCATTTTTTCCTTGCAATTTACTATTTTATATCCAGAGAATAATTGTATTGGGTGGCCTATATAAATGATGTAGATAAGTCAATAATCATTCTATATAGTCTTTCCTTTGTCCAAAGAGTTAGGGCAGTGCATGCGTTTATCTTCCCAATCATGTTATCCTCATAGCATCATTGTGAGGTAGATTAGACTGAGCAGTGGAGTCTGGCTCAGAGGCAACTGGTGAGCTTTATGGCTAGTGAGGATTTGAACCTGAGTCTCCTTGTCTTAGCTGGTGTCTCTAACCAGTGCAGCGTACTGCTTCTCTGTGATAGCTAAACAGGAGCTCCATATGAGATGTGTAGAGTCACAGAATGCAGGATGCTAGGAAAGCAAGTGTTCAGGAATGTTACCTGAGTTGCAAAAAGTCTCGGTAGCGTATGGCCATCCATTCAGTATTAGCATAATGTTAAAGATGCGCGGGAGGATCATTGGCTTTGAGTAACTGATCTTTCAGGAATGTGCTTTCCTCCATTTACTGACTCCTTTGTTTCTGTCTCTGCTTTCCTTGCAGGGTCTGTTCTGGATGTTATCAAGCACATTGTGGCCAAAGGGGAACACAAGAATGGAGTTCTGGATGAACCTGTGATAGCCACCATCCTGAAGGAGGTGTTGGAAGGGCTAGAATACCTGCACAAAAACGGGCAGATTCATAGGTGGATCTTCTGTTTGCATTTCTAAATGTTGCTTATTTGCACAGTACTTTTTAGTGGGGTTGGAGTACTTTTCTGTCAGTTGATTCTTTAGGTAGTTCACATTTGTTTCTGTCTGGCATATCAGGAACTCAGAAATACAGCTACTTGCTCCAGGGCTATCTTGCAAGTCTGAGTTGTTAGTCAAATACAGTATTTTATCCACTTTAGCATTTCTGGCAAAAATTGATTTTGTCTATCAATGTTCCAGAAACCACCTGTTTCCTACAGGTGCACCCTTCCTCCAAAATGAAGGCACATTACTTTATTTTTTTCCCACCCTAACCCTCCATTTTTTAAAAGTCCAGTGCAAAGGTATGCAGGGGTTTTGAGACATAATTGTGTAGTTATCTTTTGTGGCTTCAGCTTCAAGGCAACATTAGCCAATTGTACAATTAATACACATTCACTGTTTTGTGAATTCCCATGGTATAAAAATGAAAGCACTTCCTCCCACATGCTATGTAGAATATAGTGCCACAAGGAACTGTGCTAGGTACCAGCTTGAATTGCTTTGAACAAATACTGTGCTAATCTTCCAGCCTGGTGCTCTCCAGATGTTTTATACTACAACTCCCATAAACCCCAGCTAGCCTGGCCTATTTCTCTGAAAGTGTCGCTTCCTACCACAAAAAGTGCTTGGAACAAATTAGTTCCAGTACAGTAATCCATTTTCTTAATGTATCAGAAACAAACAATTAAGATAAACCATAATCTGCAGAATAAGAGAAATACAAATACACAGCATAAAAACATGATCTAAAACCAATATACTGCATGAGGTGTTTAGTATACACAAAATCCTACAGATATACACAAGCCTAGGATAAACACTACAGAACCAAACCATCATGTACAGGTGGCTGGGAAAATTAGTATTTTTTCCCTGTCCTCAGAAGGGTGATCATGATGGCATGAGGTGATCTTCCTTAGAGAGAATGTTTTATAAATGCCAAGCTATTACTGAAAAAAGGAAGGACTAGCCAGGAAGTTTTGGAAGGTCCAAAACATATTGGGGGGGCGGGCACCAAGTTGGAGAAGGCTTTACATCTCTGGGGTATATTTCGTATCAGATTAGAAATGGAGCAAAGTAGGAAGAGGAGGTAGGATGTGAATTAAAGTTTTTGAAGTTCTTAGGAAGAAATAAGCTATAAGAAGCTTATCCAAGTTAGTACAATAAAATGATTGTTCAGGCCTGTTTCAGTGAAAGACTTGAGTCATAGATCACACCTTTCATAGAAAAGCAGCCCAGTTCAATTAAAGTCATGGTGTGGGCAGAATGAATGCAGTTAACACATCTGTACAAATCTGGCACCCAGCTTATTGGTGCAGAGAAGGGAGTGACACTGGAGCGGGGCCTTTTTTAGTTATGGGGGTGGAGAAGAGAGGTCAGGTTGGGCTGTGGTAGTAAATCGGTAGGAGCTTCATGAAGTGTGTTTATATGGGTGACACGTGACCCAGCAGAATAGATGGTGTTAATGTAAAGAGTGAGATATTTTTAAAAACAAATTAGGATGTGAATGATTGCGTGTGAAGACGAAACAAACTCCTGCTGCTGAACTGTCTTATTGCCAAAGAAATAAGTCAAATGTGCTATTTTGAGCATTTCTAACGTATTAGTTTTCAATACCTATCTCCCCTGAAGCTGTTTCACTTAATCAAGGCATCCCTGAAGGAATCTTTGTACTCTAAAGGCTTTGCTGAGGATTGGGAAAGGCTTGGAGTGAGGACAGAAGGAACAAAATCCATTACTCTTTTCCTTCGTCTTAGTCCTGTCTTTGCTTCTCCTTTCTTTAAGTTTCTGTATGTCTTTTAGAAGTTAAATGATGCTAAGGAACAGCATGCATGCAAGTTACCCTTCCTACCTTAGTAGGAACCTTAATCCTATATGTGTAGGAGACAGTGATAGCTGCACAGTGTTATGGGAATCTTCACATACCCAGATACATTTATAGCATCTTGAACTAGTTCATTGCTTGCTTGCTTCTAGAAATCCTAGATGGTTAAAAGTATTCTTACAAATAGCAACACGTGAAATAGTGTTTGTTTAACAGTTTCTCCAGGATGAACCCTTTTCAGTGCCATTGAATGGACAAGCAGCAAGGGTGTGCTTTGGTTCTGGAACAAGCTTAGAGTAGGCCTTTGAAGAACTGCAAGCTAGTCATATCGATTATCACTCTTCCTCTCCTCGGAACACCAGGTTGCTGCCTGGATGGTGTATTAAAGGCCTTTTCTTGGTCAATAATGAATTGTGTTTGAGTCACGGGAAAGGGAGCTTCACCCCTTGAATGGGGCCAGGAAGGCTTTAGGAACGTATGCAGGAGATAATTTTCCTTCAAGTCCAGTATGAAAAAAAAAGTGGAATGATCTGCAGGAAAGGTTTCTTGCCACGGGCACCATTTTCACCAAAACTCATTGGCAAGAGAATCAGCTTTTACCTGTCCCATGGAATAACAGCGCAGTCTCTGAAGTGTATGTAAGGCAGGTGATCAGTTGCTGTTGAGAAATGAACTGTTCAGTAATGCCTGCAGCCTCCCCTGCAGCTTTCAAAGCCGGCCGTGCATAGAGGTGCAGTTAAGCCCGTAAGCTATGAGGATGTTGAGTGAGTTTTATGACTAAGGGGAAAAGACAAGATTGGCAGTAGCCAGTTGATATGTCAAGTATTTTGCACCTCTCCCAGTTCTAAATACTGGACTTGCTTGTGCTTTTGGTTGTGGATTATCGGGTGTCCAGTTGCTTGACGGATGATCCCATGTAATTTGTAACCAAAGCAAATGAAAGCATTGTTGGGAAGTTACCAACCAGAGTTCGAAACATAAAGCCCTTTCAGGTGGTGTGCTTTAAAAAGAGTTTTCTGATAAGCCAATCACGGTTGGCTTAACAGGAGGCAATTTATGTCTCAATCCTGAATGCCTATCGCTGAGTTTGATTAGGTCTGAATATTTGACATGCTTAGAAAGGAAGCAATAATAATTAAAAAGTGGGTTAACTTGCCCTACAGCTTCAGGAGCCTTTTTAATGTGTTGGATCTTTGGGATGTCACAAGAGTTCTCTGAAGACAATTAATGTGGGTAAAGTATATAATCATGTGCTTGAATTGTTCTAAAAACCAAGAGGTTACATTGCCATTATCCAAACACGAGGGGAGAGAGAATGGTTGCCATGTGTCTTGTGATGGAATGTCATTATGGCTTTGGCAGCAAAACAGTGTCTCCACTTTGGAAAAGGCCTGCCTCTCGGGTGTGTTCCACTTATTCAACACACCTAGCATTGCCAAGGAGAAGATGCTCAGCAATAATGTGCTGCCATTCCCAGTTCTGCACCAAGTGTATCTTTGAGATGCGTGTCTGCAAGCTCATGTTGCATTCCTGTTCTACCCATGTACTGGTTGCCACTGTAGACAGTAATTTTAAATAGTTTGGCAAGTTCACAGTGCGAGAGAGAGAGTCACAGTTGCGTTATGTTCAGGCCAGACAGAGGCAGCATACAGACTACCTGGGGATGGCTGCTTCTAAATTTCCTGGAGGGATATTTGGCTGTCTTCTGAGCATTAGATTTTGGTCTAATCCAGTGAGGCTGCTGCTCTGCTTTTTCTCTAAGTCTGGCAATCTCTGAGGAAAGAAATGAACACCTTCTCTGCATTTCTTCCCTTCACTACTCCGAAGGTCACTGATTTCAGTATGCGAGTGATTTCTCATTATGCTTTTTACTGTGGTCGTCTTGTGCGCTCTCCTCTGTTCCTCCTCCGTTCTCCTGAAATATGGATGCTTATCCAGAACGATTGCATTATTTATTTATCTAGGCATTTATATACCATTCATTAACACGGAGGTCTCAGAATGCTGTACAAAAATCCTGTTAAAACAACATACAGTATCAGTGTCAACAATCAATTTAAAATCAGGAATGCCTGTCAGAAGCCATCTCTACAAACAAGAAAAGCCAACCAGTATAGATGATAATCAACAATAAACAAAACAATACATGGCAACTATTTGACAATAATTATCCCAGCCATCCTCTGAAATACTGTGCCTTGGGGGCTCTTTGGGAATATAATTTGTATATGGTTGCATGCAGTCACTTCCTTCGGTCTCTCTCCTGGCATTTCAGAACTTCCAAACAGCACAAACTTGGAAAAAGATCAGCAGGATTCTCTTGTTTCATATCCCTAGGAGACTTTTTTCAAGGCCTCCAGAAATGCAGGAATACAAACTGGCGGTTCCATACGATGCCAGATTGTATTTCTGAGATGCTGAGTAATGCTTTGGCAAGATTGCTCACACATGTTGTGGCTTGTTGTGTTTTTGTTAAAAAGAAAATCCATTTTGCGCAGGATTGCTATGGAGACATCTGGTCCTTGATCTCTTTTGTGTTAGTAACTGTCTTGTATGTGATGCTTTCTCTTTTTCCCCATCTTCCTTCCAGCATTAGAGTTTGCTTAAGGGGAATTGCAAAAGGAGAAATCCACTGGAAACCAGGCAAGTCAGAGGAAGATATTGAGGGAGAGGTTAAGCATAAGAATATGGAGCTTGGTCTCTCCTCACCTCTTGGTGTTCATTCAAGACTATAAGAGGTTAGGACTGTTAGAAACTTGTTGATTGACAGTCCTGCTGTCGCTGATATAAAATCCAGTGGCTTGTGCTGGCATAGCTTAAGTGTGATTAAGAGGTTTAATGAATCATGGTATCACTTGCTTCCAAACCCTTCTTACCTGAAGGCAGATTTTACTTCTATTTCCCTCCTGTCCTTCCTCCCCACACCCTAATTTGCATTAACAGCACAGGTAAGGGCTACAGTTTAAGCATGGTTAAGCCTAGACCCAGTCTCTTCAGTCCTGCTGGTGGAGGTCCTAGCTCACAGCACATGCTGAAGGTCCCAGGTTCAAACCCTTGGTAATTTCAGTTGAAGGATCCAGTATCAGCAGGCAGTAGAAGGAGAACTCTTTCTTTCTGAGGCCTTGT